ACCAGACCCAACCTACCTTGGGCGGCCCGATCTCAAACTCGTAGCCCTCGCGCCGCATGTTCTCGATGAGGATGCCCAGGTGCAGGGTGCCGCGGCCGCTCACGCGGAACGACTCAGCGCCGTCCCCGGGCTCCACACGCAGCGCCAGGTTGCGCTCCAGCTCCCTGAGTGGGTGGGCAAGACGTGTCAGGCGGCGGTCCTAGGAGTGCGGGCTGGATGAGTTGGCAGCGATGGCAAACTTGCAAGCGCTTCAGACTCGCTTGCATCTGGTTGACGCCATCGCAGGAATCCCTTCCCGCAAGCTCCCACCTGTCCAGGCGGTCCTTCAGGTTGCGCGACGTGACGAACTTGCCCTCCTTCCCGGCAAAGGGCGAGGTGTTGACCTTGAAGGTCATCGACACGGTGGGCTCCTCCACCTTGATGGTCGGCAGCGCGTTGGGGAGCTCGCGGGTGCACACAGTCTCGCCGATCTGCGTGGGCAGGAAGACAGGCGGAGCGCGTGAGCGTGGCCAGTGAATGTAAGACGCAGGCACCAGCAGGGGACAGGTGAGTGAGGATCCCTTCAAAAACACTTTGGCACAGCAGACCTGCAGTGCGACCAGAAAGCCGCCCATCTAGCAGGCAGCCAGCCCGTCCCCCCCGCCACCCACCCAACTCGGTCCCAAACCAGCCCCGCTCCACCCACCGAGATGTCCTGGATGCCCGTGAGCGCGCAGATGTCGCCGGCCTGGACCTCCTCCACGGGGGTGCGGCTGAAGTTGTCGTACACAAACAGCTCGTTCACCTTGCCAAAGCGCACCTTGCCCGGCTCAAGGCTGCTGCAAAGGGACACCTGCTGGGCCTTGCGGATGGTGCCTGCATGAAGCAGGGGGTCAAGGCGGTGGCGGGTGTGAGAGGTCGCGGGGGCAGGTGCAGCAGCTGCGTCAAACGTCATGAAGCTGCAAATGAAAAAAACAAGCGGCGCGCGTTCCAATGCGCACCTGCGGTGACGCGGCCAATGGCGATGCGGCCCTTGTGCTCGTCAAAGTCAATGTTCGTGACCAGCAGCTGGAGGGGCGCGTCAGGCAGGACGGTGGGGGGAGGCACCTGCGGGGAGGCCGCCGGTAGCACGGGGTCAGATAAGGGCACTGTTGTCACTGAGGAGGCCAAGGCCTGGTGTACCACGGATTGATGGCATCGGGCCTGTCAAGCCAATCTAGCCTCACGGCACCTTCTGAACAAATTGGCTTCATCAGTGCAATGTGCAGACACCTCACAGTGGCCACCCTCAACCCTCAACCCACACACGCGACCGCCGCCCCCCCCAAGGCAACAAGCACGCACCGAGTTGACGATCATCTCAAACAGGGGCTGCAGGTCCTCCTGCATGGAGTCAGGGGAGGTCCCGGCAATGCCCTTGACGCCGGAGGCGTACACCACCGGGAAGTCGCACTGGTCGTCGTTCGCCCCCAGGTCCATGAAGAGCTGGGGGAGGGCAGGGGGGTGAGACAGGGTCCAGCGTCTGCATGAGGCGGCAAGTGCGGAGGGTCCCCGTAGCCAAGGCGGCTGTTTAAAATGAACTGCGCGCACACGCCTGTGCTTCTGTCCTGGCAGAGGCAGCAAACCTTGGCCACGCCATGCAATGTCGCTGTGCGCCCCTCCTACTGTGCCATTGCCTTGATAACACTGCCGCTCCGTTCCTGCCGCGGCTCCACGGCCCCGGGCCCCAGTCACCTCAAACGTGTGGTCGACCACCCACTCTGGGCGCGCGGCGGGCCTGTCAATCTTGTTGACCACCACCACCACCTTCTTGTTGAGCTGCAGGGCCTTCTTGAGCACAAAGCGAGTCTGGGGCATCGGTCCCTCCACGCTGTCCACGAGCAGCACCACGCCGTCGCACATGTTGAGCACGCGCTCAACCTCCCCGCCGAAGTCCGCGTGGCCGGGTGTGTCGATGACGTTGACCTTGACGCCCTTGTAGGTGATGGCCGTGTTCTTGGCCAGGATGGTGATGCCCCTCTCACGCTCCAGCGCGTTGCTGTCCATCACGCGCTCCTGGGTCTCCTGGTTCGCGCGGAACACCTGTGAGCCACCAGGGGAGGGGGGGTTGCAGCGAGAGGAGCAGTTGGCAAACAAGACAGGCGGGCAATTGAATCTGCAGACGATGAAAGTCAGCGCTGTACATGTGGAGGCAGCGAGGCCGCACTGCTCTGGTGTCTACCGCGAGAGCCTTGCTTGTCCTCAAATGCTTGCGCCTCAGCCCCGCCTCCCGCCTCGGCCCCAGCAATGCCAAGTGTATAAGGTCCAGCCCGCAACACCCTCCCCTTGCCCCCCATGTCGACGCGCCTTGGACTGCTTGAGCATGGCGTCCACCAGCGTGGTCTTGCCGTGGTCGACGTGGGCGATGATGGCGATGTTGCGCACGTTCTCGCGCGTCACCTCGCCAACCGCCGCGGCCGGCGCTGTGGAGGCCAGGCGGAGGTTTGGGGTGTGTGACAATTGGGCCTTGCTGGAAAGACGTGGGGCCCACCGACCGCCGTAACACGCCGGCCAGGCCCGGGGGAGTGTAGCAGGCAGCAGCTGACACATGCTTTCAGGCTCTGAGGAAGTAACATCGGCAATACGCAAGCCGGCTGCGGCGGCTCCAGGCGGCGGCAGCGGGCCGAGTCGATGCGGCGCGGAAACGCGCAAGCCAGTGTACCCTCCCCATTGCCAGTCCGGCATGCCCATGCAATCCCACGTCCCGCAATCAATTATTACCGTCAGCAACAGCAGCGACGCGGCAGACTGTCTTGCGGGCAGGGGCGCCATCCCGGGGGACCGCCATTCCCAGGGCAGAGGCAGCAGCGTCTGCGACACCGCAGTGGTACATAGATTGGGTATAGAATGAGTTGAATCACTCCATAGCACACGTCGCAGGGTCCCATGCAGCCACCGCGCAAAGATACAGGCTGGCCACACAGGATGGCAGGCAGCGACGGCACCACTCACCCCTGAGCGCAGCCGAGCGCCCACGACGGCAGGTTGCAACGCTGGTGACGGCCGTCACGCTCCTGCTGGCCGACCGGGGGGTCCCCTGGACCCAACCCGCGATGCTGGATTTCAGGGTACGCATCTTGAATGAAGGATGGATGTGGGCGCCGCAATTGAAATTGCAGCTTTAAGGTAAGAAATTCAGTGGCGGGGCGGGCTGTATATTGCCGGCACGCCCAAAGGCGGTTCGCAGGCGTTGCTGCGAGTGCTTGGTGACGCCTGACCCACGCCCACCATGCATTGCACCCCTCCCCTTGTTTGACTGCTGCACGTATCACAATGTCCACGTGGGATCCAGGCGTAAGGGCCGAACAAGTGTAGGCATGAGAACGCCAATCGATTTCAGTACCCCGCTGCCTCCCACACGTGCCGTGTGCGGTGTCTACGGCGGATAGCCACTCCAGGCGCCACACAGCAAACGAACCCGCATCGCTGCTGTATGCAAGCGGCGATGAAATTGTATAGATTACAAGATACAGCACCCCGCATCTGTGCCTGGCGAGTTCGCCACGAGCTCGGTGAGATGCAGGCTTGGACACGAGGTAGGAACACTGCAGGCCACCAGCGACGGCCACTGCTGGCACATGGACGCACATATAGGGTGTATGTCACCTGAAGATGCGATGCACTAGTGTAAGATCTGCGCTGCTGTTTGCTCACACAAGTCACATGCGATTATTACCGTTCACCCATCACTCCTGGTCTGCTGGTAGCCGCTCCACATCCAACAAGTCTTGCTGCCACTCCCGCAGCTGCATCCGAGCATGCCGCTCCTGCGGCCCGGCAACCTTGATTGCCATGACAGGGCCGGAGGCAGCAGGCATGGCAGTCGCGGCTTCCTCCACCGCAGCTGCAAATCGCCTGAATGCTGGGGGTTCCTGGGGCCGTACGAAGAAGGCCGGGTCGTCCTCCACGCGCAAGGCCTGCACAGCAGGGCTGGTGCGGGCCCCGCGCCCCTTGCTGCCTGAGCCGCGGCACGAGAGCACCCCTTCGCATCCTACAGGTTGCTGGTTGAACCCAGGGCCCTGGATGGAAGAGAGGGCGGCCAAGCGAGTAGTTGAGGGCAGCGGGCACAGTGGCACCAATTGCAGGCTTGGACCCTTCATCTCGATTGCCATTGATGAGCCCAGTTTGCAATCCAATGCAGCAATCAATCTGCATCCTCCAAGCAGGTGGTTTGCACCACAACTGCAGATGTTGTTGCGGACGCACCTGCTGATGAGCTGGCGACGGTGGCGCGTGCTGCCTGCCAAGGCGTGGGATGTTCGGCTCGGGAAGCGACGGTGACACCCGGAACCGCACCTCATCGGGGGGAATTCGCACGCCTGGGCAGCAACAGAGTGCGAGAGGGGCGAGCTGAAGGTATGGTGCAATGCTGGGCCAGATGCGCTGTCACGGGGCCGTTCAACGCGTTGGGTGTAGCCAGGCACATTCGGTTGACCAGCAAACGTCAATGCGCGGCATCCTTGCAACCCTCGCCTGCAAAGTGTGGTGGGCGGCGCCCCGTCTCTGGCAGCACGCGCCGCCCATGGGGCCGCTCCAGGTGCTGGGGCTCTGTCAACAGCCGCCGCGTCCGCCGATACTGCTGTGCAGCATCCCCCGCCCCCAAGACATCAGCACCCTGCCACGCGCCCGTCCGCTGCAGCTCCACCGCCTCCTGCGCCGTGCCCTGCGCACTGCCACGGGCGCCCATCCCCGCGCCAGCAGTGCGCCTGGTGTGGTATGCAGTTGCCACCCCGCAATTGCCGTCGACCACCGGCACCACAAATTCACATGAGCCTCCCTCAGCACGGCCGGGAAAATGGCGTCGCTCCCCTGCGGGGTGGTCCCAGGCGTCGCTCGACCATCTCGCAAAGCCACCATTCCCAAGGAGGGACGGCGGTGTGTGTGGCACATGTGCCTTTTTCTTGGTCAAGAAGTTAGCCGCGTAGTGGTCGGGACGACTGCCTTGGACGCGCTGGCTGGCGCAGGGGCAGTCACTTGTGTGCGGCAGGGAGGTGCAGGGGGGCGTGTGGACGGGTTCACGGATTCCAATAGCTAGGTATGCACAAGCCTGCCTGATTGCGCACTTAGTTACAGATTAGCGCCCTCAATCGGCTCGTACCTGTCAAGCCCCCACGGCGGCCCCTGGCTTGAGTCGCGTTGGCAGCAGCAAGCTCTAGCTGCGCCAGGTGCCGGGGCTGAAGCGGTCGCTGTAGAAACCGCGACCAAGCCAGACATGCTCATGGTACCGTAAGTGTATATTACATTGATACTATTCTTTGTAAGCCCAACACTCGCTGATACGTCGCCGCTTCGGAGGTCAAATCTAAATTATGGTTTGATCAAATGCGGCATGCACTAAACTTTTAGCATACTGAACACGCCGAAAAACCACAGTTATGACTTCAATATATTGCGTCACGTACCAGTACCGTATTATGCTGCACACCATTTATGCCGTGCATGTGGTGTGTGCCCAGTGGTGAGAATAGCGCACAGCAGCACGAGCTGTCGCAGGCAGCATGTCCCAGCAGCCTGTACAGGGCAACCCCCAGCCCAGCGCACCCACTTCAGTCACCGTGTGATGGCGCTTGTGCTCGCTCGCAAGCTTCAATGATTCAACCCAAAGCAAGCTGCACGCCACAGCCCACCTCATTAGGCGGCTCGGTTTGCCCGCAATACTAGATTGCCACTGATGGGTAGTTCATTTCTTACGGCATGCAGGCGGTGGCGGCGGCTGCGACATGCAGGGAGGAGAAGCCCTGCGTATGAGTGTGCGTGTGTCTGTGTGCATGCACGTGCGTGCGTGCATGCGTGCATACGGGCGGGCTGGCGGCTGGGCGCACGCGCGTGCGCGGGTGCGTGCGTGCGTGTGAATGCGGATGTGCGCATACGCATGCGTGTGCGTGTCAGTGTGCGTGCGCGTGCCCGTGCGCATGAGCGGCGCTCAAGGAGATCTGCCTTGTCACAGCGAACCATGGTTGCTGGAGCGCTGGCCATGCCATGCAGCAACAATCGCACAGCACGATTGGCAGCATTCAAGATCTTTCGTCGCTATACCGCACCATGCAAAAAGGACGGGGAAGCCGGACCAACACTGGCGCGAACCACACCACCTCCTCCAGCTGCACCCCGGCTTCGGCTTCGGCTCGCGAGCCGAACTAGCGCCAACCGACTTTTGAAGCTTATATGTGCGGACGGTGCTCTGTCCGGCTCGTTTGCAGTTTGCCTGAGTTGCCCCAGCTCAATACCGGCCAATCAGTGCCGCTTCTGGAGCCCTGGAGGGCAGCCACATACGCTTCAGAGAACCATTACTGGCTGATTGTTTGCACTAGCGTTGTGGGCACCTGGCCGCGCTCGCGAGGGAGACGCTCCACGATGGTGGTTCCTGCAGCCTCCCGCACCACGCTGACATGGGTTTTCCTGGCGCTTCTAGCAGGTAATAAAGAAAATTGTCTTGATTTTACGCAGTATGGCGCTGCAGTAGGGGGAACAGGAGCCTGGTTCCCCGCTCAGCGTCCCGTCGGCGGGTTTCTTTGCTGTGTGTGCTTGATGCTACTAGGGGATCGCCGTGCGTCCCCCCCATGCCGCTGCCATGGATGGGTTTCATCAGCTTATACTTATCAGTATCAGCTCACTTTGCGGTTCAGTATCGCGAGTGCATGTACCAACGCCGGGGCACCTCGGGTATCACGTCGCCGTCGCCATGTCGCTGCTGCTGCGCTTCCCGTCGCAGGCCCGGGAGTGCGGCCAGCTTTAGCGGCTGTGAGCCTTAAGATGCCGGTGATCCCCTGGTACAGCGTTTTACGGGGTGGCTATGTGGACCTCATCACCAAGCAACCTGTCACGACACAGATGACAGTGGCGAGCGTTGGGCCGACAGCGCCGGCGGCTGGCGGGGTGTTCCAGCCGCAAAACGGGCTGTTCAACCCTGCACCGCGGCCGACATCGCGCACAATCTTCCCAATCACAATTCCATCGCTTGACTTCTGGGAGAAGTGCTTCAAAGAGACCGATCCTCTCAGGTGACAGAGCAGGGCTGGTCGTGCCGGCTGGTGTGGTGATGCGGTCTGGGAGCTGAATATATTCAGCCGCTGGCTTCTTGCACATTGGGCAGGTGCGCTCCCAAGGCTGAGCGCATTCACGTGAGCAGGTGCAGCGTTGGCAACCGCACCCGGCGCGTCAACGCAGCGACCTTGAACCAAGCTTGTTCCTGTTCCTTCTCCAACCCCCCATGTGTTCGTCACGCCGTCAACATTTTGGCCACCATTGCAGTGCGCTAATCTCCAAGTGCAACTACCAGGACACCTTCACAACCTGCTCACAGCTGGCCAACATGGGCTACTTGCCCAAAGGGGTGCAGTCCTTTGAGGCGGACTCGCTCACAGGTGAAAGGGGGGGGGGGGGGGCGGAGATGAAGAGCTGAACTGGCACCGCCCTGGTGATGGTGGCAGACAGGAACAGCGGCAGACAGGCACCGCGGATTCCTGTGCTTCCAAAGTCAAGGCGGCGGCAGCAGCGGCAGCCGCGGCAGCAGCGGCAACGTCGGCAGCGGCGACAGCAGCGGCAGCGGCGGCAGCCACGGCAGCAGCGGCAGCGGCGGTGTAGGCGGCAGCGGCGGCAGGAGCGGCATCAGGTGCAGCGGCAGGAGCAGCGGCAAATGCAGCGGCAGCAGCAGCGGCAGCAACGGCAGCAGCGGCGGTGGCAAGAGCAGCAGTAGCAGCAGCAGTGACGTGGCAGCAGGAGCAACGGACGCCAGGCTTGTCACCTGCCCTTTCCCATCTAACCACTGCGTTGTTATTGTGCCTCAACCACACCCCAACAGGCTCGTTCAACATCCCCACTGGCTGCACATCTGGCAGCCTGGGTGTGTCGTACGACAAGCTGTTCCGCATGACCTTCAACTCCCCTCAGGTGCCTATCCTGGCTGTGATCAGCAAGGACCCCGTGGGGTCCATGGTCAGCTACTTTGGCACAGGTTCCACACAGGTGAGGGCGGGCAGCAGACCAAACAGGGCCGCATGCACGCTTGTGATGCAACATTGGACACAGGCCTGCGATTGCATCCGTCCCGCTGCCTTGTGCTCCCTGCCTACTTCCCTGTTGAACTCCCTGTCCCCTCCTGCTACGTCAACCCAGGGCCGCGTCAAGCACCGCCTGGCAACCAAGGCCGAGTTTTGCTACTCGCCCACGCTGAGTGAGATCGGGGTGACCAAGAGCGCCATCTACTCCACTGGCATGCAGCCTGGCACCACCAGCTGGACCTTCTCCAAGAGCGTCGACCTGGCGCCGCCATACAGTGGCGGCCGCGCGGTGATGTTCAACGGCGACAGCGTGGACGCTACCTGGACGCTGGCCGCGCAGAAGAGTGGCACCGACGTCAACTACCAGGGCGTGGTCAGCGGCACCATCTCCATCAACAACCCCACCCCAGCACTCATCACCGTCACATCCATAGTGGACCAGGTCTCTGGCGGCCCGGCGGCCACAGTGGCCTGCCCCGTTGGCACGCCCTTCACGGTACCTGCCTGCAGCTTTGCCACCTGCCAATACACCGCCTACTACCCCACCCAGCCGCCACCTGGCACCTACACGAGTGCGGCCCAGGTGGCATTCAATGTGCTCGGGTCTCAGGGCTACCCCACTACTTCCCAGGGGTCTGCTGTGTTCAACGTCGGCAGCGTGGGCTCGATGTCCGCCCTGGCAACCAGCGCGGGCACGGTGCCAGCCGGCAGCGCCATGGTCACCGACAGCATGAGCCCCCAAAAGAGCTACATGTTCAGCGGCCCCGGCCAGCAGTCATTCCAGACCACCCTCACCTGCTCAAGCGCGTCGCCCAGCGGCGCAGTCACCAACACGGCCACGCTCACTGCTGCCAATGGACAGCAAATCTCCCAGAGTGCAACTGTGCAGAAGCAGTGCTACGACCTGCAGGTGTCTGTCGCTACCAAGGCCTCGCCCTACGTCGGCCGCTGGGGCTGGGAGGTTCGCAAGAGTGCAGCGCCCACGGCGCTCACGCTCAGGCCCGACCAATCATCCTCTGACCAGCCGTCCCTCTTTGGCCGCGACTATGCGGCCACCACCACGGGCGACGTCGTCTACAGCGTCACCTACACGCGCAACCCGCCCGCCGGCTTTGCTGCGGGCGTGCCTGCGTTTGAGGCGGCCGGCGAGGTGTATGTGAACAACCCGGCTCCCATCAACGCGCGCATCCAGGGCGTCTACGTCAGCATCTCCAACAGCCGCGCGGGCCAGCCCTATGTGGCCGAGGCAACGTGCCCTGTGCTCACCATCCCCGCCGGCCAACGCATCACGTGCACCTGGCGCGCGACGCCCACCTTCAACCCCATTGGCCAGCAGGTTCGCGGCACCGCGCGTTACCTCAACACCCGCAACGGCGAGGCGCGCGGCAGCACCACGGACTTCAGCAGCGCGCCTGCAACCATTGGTGGAGGCACAGCCTCTGGGGACGACGCCGGCCAGAGGCGCCGGCGCCTGCAGCAAACATGGGGCGGTGTGGCCAAGCAGACAACCATCGGGCTCATCCCTGAGATGCAGCCCGCCGTGGCCTCCACCATCTACGCCATCGACGGCCGCCCCATCGTGGTGCCCAGCAGCGTCGCCAACGGCACTGGCGTCATCGTCAGCGGCGGCGCCATAGCCGGCGCCGGCAGCGTTGCGGCCGCCGAGGCGCTTGCCATGGCGCAGGGTGTGCCCGTGATCCTGCCATCAACCCCGAGCAACGCCAACCACGGCATCTTTGTCCAGGAGGCCGGCCCCGCGGGCATCGGCGGCGCTGCGACGTCCGCCGCGGCTGACGTGCTGTCTGGCCTGCAGGACGAGTGTGTTGACGTGGCGGATGCCTTCATCAGCGGGGACGCCATGGTGACAGGGCGCCTGGTCAGCGGATCGCAGCCCAGCGGCCGTGTCTGCTCCACCACCACGTTCACCTACACGATGCGCTACGGGCCCTACGCCGACTGCGTCCCGCGCAAGGCCATCAACGCCGCCACGTTCCAGACCACTGACACCAAGGCGCGTGGCAGCAGCCAGTCTGACGTGGCGGTCAAGGTTGAGGGCTGTGCCAACCCCAGCGTGCTGAAGGTGCTGCCCGTCAACGTGACCACCAGCGCCAAGGGCGGCTACACCTGGAGCGTCACCAAGCGCGCAGACCGCGAGGAGCTGGCGCTGGGGCAGGACGCCACTGCCACCGTCACGTACACAGTCGAGTACAAGCGCATCGGCGCCAAGTCAGGCTCTGGGCTGGCTGCTGAGGCAAGCGTGTCCAACCCCACGCCTTACCCTATCCCCATTGAGGCGGCAAGCTACACCGCCACCACGATGTGCGATGGGCAGGCCAAGACCACCAGCGGGCCCGTCTCATGTGACGGTGGCGCTGTGCCGCCAAAGGGCAAGCTCTCCTGCAAGATTGCTGCTGCTGTTCCATGCGCCAGCTACGGCGCGTACACCATCGTCCTGACCGCTGGCGGCGGCTACACAGTCACCTCACCGCCAACCTCATTCACCTTCAACACCGAAATGCTGGCCGCCGCCAACATTCAAAGCGAATGCGCTGAGGTGAAGGACGTTTTCACCACCGGCCCCAACCGCGTTGCTGGAGCGGTGGTCGACGGCAAGCGACCCAACGGCCGGCTCTGTGGCAGCAAGACATTCACATACAGCATCAAGTTTGGGCCCTACAGCAAGTGCGGTGCCTTCAAGGTGGGAGGGGCTTGGCAGGCAAGACTTGGGGAATCAACCAGGGGGTTGAAGAATGGAGTATCAGGGTCGTGGAAAGTGCGTAGGGGGTGATTGGGAAAGAGGGGGTGCAGGGGGAGCACGGTGTGAGCCAGAAGGGCAGGTTGCTCCAGCATGTAGCCCTTGGCATGGTGCAGTGGGCCCAACTTGCCTCCGCACGGTGCTTGCGTTTGGGGCTGCAGAAAACAATCCACTTCATCTCCTGAGCAGCTCCAGCCCACACGTGTTCTGAGACACCATGC